ACGGTTAAATGCCTAAATGGAACTTAGTTGCGTAAATAAGGCATTTCCACCAGTTATAGTTTAGAAGTAAAAGAGGCTGATTCTTTGGCTTGATGCATTTCTGAACGCACACATAAAACACATTTCAAAAAATTTGATCAAAAGCATTTTTATAATTTTTAAGTTTATTTTGAAGTCTTTTACCGAAATATTAGTTTTAAATTTGATATTGCAATATTTTTTGTGCAAAAATTGACAGCAACGGGCATATAATGTACTTCAAAATGTAACATTTGAAAACGGTTCAGCAGGATTTGAAATGGCTAACTTCATTTCAAACGTTTTTTCGTGTGTTTTAAAAAATTAAAAAAATAAAATTAAGCGGAAACAAAAAGCAAAGCCAAATAAAAATAAAAGAATCAACAAAGTTCATAGGCCTGCAAGTAGTGCAGCGCTGCCTTATACCGAATCATTGTGTACAAAATCCACAATGTACCGAATGCACAGGTCTAGGATGGGGCTCTGTCTTTTATGTAATATGCACTGACGTCGCATCTAGTATGATTCGTTATCAAAATGCACAAACGTTCTATAAATTTGTTTACTTTTTACACTTCCGGTAGCCTTTGTTCAGAAAAATACTTAAAAGTAACAACAATTTTTTCTTATGAACATAACAAAAAAAGCGAATGAAATTGCATTGAATTCGATGCTTTGTGCATTTTGATAAAGTTATTTCCTTAGATTTGCCAGCCAAGAATTATCCTTTTGCAGATGGGACCTAAACCAAATGAAGCACTTTACGCCAATATCGCAATTTTTGACCAATCCTATTGCAAATCAAAAATTAGTAAATTTGTTTATGGTATGCTTTGTGCGGGTAATAACGATGATCCTGAGAGGGACGCATGCTCAGGAGACTCGAGTGGCCCTTAATATGTAATGGAATTGTGGCAGGTATCGTATCATTTGGTGAGGGTTGTGGTTTTGCTGGCTATTATACTGATGTGGTTTCCTATATAAGTTGGATCCGGAGCAACGAATGCAGTAAATTAAGGTCTTCTCAAAGAGTTTTACATCTTGCAAATAAGTACTTTTTTTTGATTTACTTATAAAATTGGCCAGCAAATAAACCATACGTTGGTCATATCCATTGTAGACTATATAATGGTAATGACAATAGAAGGGCTAACCATATTATTTTTAACCGACCTTACAAAAAGGAGAAATGTTATCAATTCCTCGGATTTTTTTTATGTATCTTACCGCATAACTTTGGACCACGGTAACCGATTTCTATAATTCTAATTCTAATAATTTTTAAAGAAAAGGTGTTATCTCACTGGTGGTCCCATATTAATTTGGTTTAAATCCGATAATCGGATCATAAAGAAATTAACGATTTATATGAGAATTGAAGTCGGTTTTGGTTTTTTGCATAAAAATTACTTGTAATATTTATTTATGAAAACTATGAAACATTTTCAATAAAATTACATTAAATATATTCATACATATGTATGTACAATGTACATTGTACATATATGCAGACATGCAAGTGTATGTGATAAAGCCTATACATGTACTTGTTTCCAACAATTATCAATCAAACGACTATTTTGCAATAACAGAAATCCCCTCAGTTCAGTTCGCTTAAAGCTACAACAAGGTGTGCAAATAATCTCCAGCAAAGGCAAACTCCAGAGCTACGAAATGGCACTTACCGACTTGAAAATTCGCACCAAGGATGGTGAAATTTTGGAGACACGCGACAAACTATTTGAGAAAGCTCCCATAGTTCGTGAAGCAAAAACGTTTGCTGATGAGGAAGGCTGTATATCGTTAAATAAAATAACATCAAACATTTTACGTCGCATTATCATATGGGCAGAAAAATGTGATGACGAGTCTTATGGATTAGTCACTGGGGATATTGAGAAATGGAAGGAGAACTTCTTAAATATTGACAATGAGACATTATTCCAAATGATTAGCGCCGCCGATGAGTTGCAACAACGGGATCTTGTTAATAGAGCTACGGATAAAGTGGCCAACGAAATCAATGGAATGTCAGCACCGGAAATAGCAAAATATTTCAATCTGCGCTCGAAAAATGTACATATTTGATTCTTGCTTGTGCTTTGTAAAAGTTTTTGCGAACTCAATGCCATTTTAAATAAATGTCGAAATGTTTTATTGTTGTTTTTTATATTCTAATATATAAAAATCTCGTGTCACGG